ATTACGTGTTTATATTAAAGTCACTGTTTTTTCTTTTGTGTTCCTAACTTATTTAATTTAAGGAATTAAAAAGCATGAATTTTATTAATTAGCATTGTTTTGTATTTAAATGTTGTTGAAAATCTAAATTTTTATCATAAAAACAAATTGGAAGAGCTACTGAGTAAGTGAGCTCTTACTTAGTTCTCTAGTTACTAATAAGCTCTTACTAGTTCTGTCATTTTTCAGAAATACGAAGTATATATATATATATATATACAATATTTTAAATTTTATGCCATATTAACAGAATTTTTTTGTCCATCCAGCTAACCCTTTTGCATTACATAATTTCAGAAATCAGAAAATATTGATATTGTTGGTGCATGCAACTCTTATAACACTTAACAATGGCTGTAAGTCGAACACAATTTTATTTTACCTTCCATTCTTCAAAAATAATTAAATGCATAGTATTGTTTATTTTTGCATTATTTTTTTTCAATAGCATTTTGGGAAGAAAAAAAAATTTCGTATTTGTGCAAACGCTTGATCTTGCTTAAATCAGGCGTGGCGAATTCACATCTGAAATTAATTTTTCTCCAATAGCTACCATTTTTTAAAGGATATTTTTAATCTATTTGGTGTCGTAATGTTAAGGCTTAAATACGTTAGATATGACAGGGTGTAGAACACATCTTCAGGATTGAAATTGCGTAAGGAACCTTCCGGGAAGACGTCGTACGCAGATAGGAGCTCTTCCCTATTATGACCTGTTCAGAAGCACGCAAAGAAACAGTTCATAATAGTGAAGCTCCTCTAGCGGCGTATGACAACATTTCCCACATGGGTTCAGATGCAATTTTAATTGTGATAACGTGTCCCAACTCCCCTAGAAGTTTGTCACAACATTTATGTGAGCCCCTGTTATATATAACGTTCCTGAACTAGTATATTTCGACAAAAAAATAAATATGTTTAATAAAAAAATTGTTGCTTGAAGAGAGAAACCGATGGCAGATTTGAAATTGGTGATACAAAAGTATCCACGATCTGTTTAAAAAAACTCATGCAGAAGAAAACAAACAAAAATCCCTGTATTTCCTTCTTTTGATATTTTTTTTTAAATGTAGCTATTACGGGAGGTTTGACACATTATACCAAACCAAATATTTTAACAAATGCTTTGATAAAAGATAAGATGCCTGTCCCCTGTGAAGAAAAGGTACGATAAGAAAAAATATATAAGATCAAAAAACGGACAAAAGCGCGAATAATGGATCTGTCTTCAGAAAATACAAACAAAAGTAATTTAACAATATCAGTTCAATTTGCTCTTTTTCATTGATAAATAAATATTTGATACTTCTTTATCTATAATTATTGTGTGCCATATTACTTAAAACATTGATTTATTGCTGCATAGGTTTTAAATTGCATTCCTTGCGTAATTATTTTGGCCCATGAATCAAATCTCCCTTAAATCGAGAAATGTCATACCAGGGAAAAATCATAATAAAAAGAATAGTTTATAATTTGAGCGAAACGGCTGGACTTTGTCGGGGTCAGGGAACTGACCTTGCATCAGGAAGGTTCTGGGTTCGAATTCTGGGCAAGGCATGGATGTTGTTTCATTCTCTGTACTATCTGTCCTTACTGTGGGAGCAATGTTGGCCCACCTAATATCGTGCCTCTTAAGGAGTGGCCAACAAATCTGCCCTGTAAATGCCTGAATTGACGAAATGTTAACATAGGTGGGCATTTGAAGTAAAATAATTTGAGTGGAAATGATAATATAATCAGTTACAATGATCAAAAGCTATAAATTTATTCCAACTTGTTAAGTTCATTATGTTAAAATGAAATTAAAGAAACCTTTTTATAAGAATCGGGTGAAGTTTCCATGTTTCCCCAATATTCAGTCCTTATGCTGTTGGTTTCAACTATGCAAGGACACCAAAATTCATAACAAGCCAAATTCGGTTACATATTTATCTAATAAATATCTTTATTGTTTCATTACGTATAACTAGTTTGAAATTGTAGAGTAATCTAATGTTTTATTTAACTACTGAAAGCGAAACTTTCATAATCAAACTTAAAATAATAATTATTTCTCAAGTAATTAATTTTCATGCATATAATCATAATATAGACATCGAATATACAAACAAAAACATTGAATAGAAAGCTTTTGCTAAATTTTTGAAATAAATTATTCAATATTTTTATATAATTTGATGTGTATCTTGTTTTCAGGCTCAAACGTTGAAATTGTATCGCTCACAGAATGGGGTGGCAAAACACCTCTTCCGCTCACCGATTTGAAATTGCCACAAAAACATATCATTATAAGTCATACAGTCACACCGCAATGCCATTCAAAAACTCAATGTGCAAATCGAATGAGGAGTATGCAAGAATACCACATGCACCAGTTAGGTAAGTAAGCTTTATTAGTAAACTAAATATAAATCACCATACATGTAAAGCTCTAAGAATAACAATGTACACTTTTGTGGATTCAGCAATCCTTGAGCTTTATTTCGTTACTTTTAGCAGTCATTTCTGTGCAAAATTACTTGATTTTTGTCGAAACACGAATATTTGGAAAAGTGTGTGGTTAAACTGGTTAAGAATACAACATCTACCATTTAAGTAATTTAAAATAGTAAACATATGTAAGCTAAATATAAATTATATATAGCATTTAATAAATCAAGAGGCTTATTACCCTCTCGGGATAAAAACGTACATTTTTATTGCTTTGGCTATACATAATTCATTTCATTAAAACTCAGTGGCATGACAGCCCATGCAGGGCCAAGGTCTACTCTGCCCATCTCAGTGTTCTTGACCTTCTGGCTCTGGGGTGCAAGAGCAGATATTCCAGTTGGGTTGTCAACTCAACACGGGACCCCCAGTGTTTAATTACCAAACACACTCGGTATTCATTTTATCGACCCACTGAAGGGAGGAAAGGCTGAGTCAACCTTTCCCGGCCCGAGGACCTGTGGCACGACAGCGCGAAGGACTACCACTCAGCCACCGGACGTCAATCATAACGGAATTTATATATTTTTATCGAAATGCAGTATTTTGTATTATATATGGTATCTAGATTTTATAAAAGAAAAAAGGTATAGAACTTTTTCTTTTTAAATAGGATGGCCAAATATAGGATATAATTTCGTCATTGGAGGTGATGGTAGAGTCTACGAAGGAACAGGCTGGACAAAAGAAGGAATTCACACTTACGGATGGAATCCCAAGTCTTACGGCATTTCATTTATCGGTGATTATAGATTTCAAAAACCGAATAATGCCATGATTAAGGCGGCGCATTCCCTCACCATCTGTGGAATAAAAAAGGTAGATGATCTTAAACTGTAATTGAAGCAATACAAAGTAATTAACACTCATGCTTGGTTCGGATTTAAAGGGTGTGTTAAATACATAATGTTTCTTTCCCTCTTCTAGAAATACTGATATATTCGATAATAAACGAAGAAAAACTGAGAACAATCCCTTTTTTCATCTTTTAAGTATTTAAAGTTAATAGGATTAGTATTTGTGGCTTAGTTGTAGTGAATTTACAATATAATCTAATTTAAATTTGGATTATGGGTGAATTTTAAATTTGAGGCATTTATAAAGTCCGACAAAAGAATATTTTTTGATATGGAATATTCAATAGTCTGTTGTCTACTTAATAGTTTGTTCTCTTAGATGTTTATAATTTCCAAAACTAAGAACGATTGAAAGTTAGAATGCATAATATTATAAGAATTTCAAACAGCATTATTTTCTATAAATATCTGATCAAACGTAATCCTAAAAAATAGGCTGCCCAAAACGTCAAATTTTATTCTGAACATTTTTCTAATATCCAATGCATGAAATAACTTCAAAACAGATTACATGTTAAAAATGCATTTTTAATAAATCTTGAGACATCTGCAGTTTTTTTTTTAAATTTTTCTGATACATATTATTTTCCTTATGTTCTCTAAGAGAAGTGTTTGGTCTTCAGATTCCTAAGATAATAATTTTTAAAATTCCTCAGTAGTTGATACTACCACTTTTTAATATTTCTTTCATGATTCAGTGTTTAGTAATAATCATTTTAAAAAATAATCTTTAGATGAACGATTACTTTTGAAGATTTTTGGATTTTAAAACGATGAGTATTTTTTATGCTGTCCGTCTCTTTAAAGTTAATTTATTAAGATATATTAACTGCTTGTCTTTTCCAAAGTGAGTCTGCGAACCATATTTGAGTCCAAAAAGTTTGCATGTGATAGCAACAAAATTCAATTATATAAAATTGTCAAGTGCGTTTCCTGTTAAAGTGTTTTTTAGTTAAGTGATGATTTATAAGATCCCCACAGATCAAAATTTTAATTCAATCTTGATGTTAAAACACTTACAAGACCTGTACGAGAATCAATGTTAAGTACCAACGAAAATCAGTTTTAATTTCATTTCTAAAACGATTTAAATGCCTTCACATTTGAAAATTACTCTTATACAAAATATTAAAAAAAAAGTAGTAGAAAATTGGCAATTAGAATAATATTCTCTAGCCCTTCCAAAAGTCTTCTACAGCCTACTGCTGCAAATTTAATTTTAAAAAAAAAATACACAAAAATTAAAACTATCTGTTGGAAAATTTCTTTTCTCAGTCCTTCAAATCTTGAAACAAAGCTCGTGGTAAAAAATACATTGTGTTAATTAAGCATCACACCTAATTAATACCTTTTGGTAAATGTTATTATTCGGTTATTTTGCCCCATCACCACTGAATTTGGTAAGTGTGATAAAATTTAAATTTTTTTTAGATTACAGAATTTTACTAAATGAGATAATTTCGGATTAGATTCGAGGAGTAAAATGTTTGCTTAAAAAATTAAACTTATATAATATTATTCTAAAGATTATTCAGAAACCAACACCCTTTCTTGACATACCCTTCAATTTTATGATACTTCCCTACAAAGAGCAAATTTGTTTGCCTGAGGTTGACTACAAACTTTACACTTAGGATAGATTTAGAAATTTGTTAGTGTAGGAAATATCCAGGCAATGATCCTTAGCTTTAAAAAAAAATTAGCGAATGGAATTCTGTGGCAGTGTATACGGGGCAATGATCATTAAAGTTAAAAACTCATCATAGTGGGGAATAACTATCAAATGTATATCGGCTACATTGACATTAAAAGCATATTAGTCTCACAAATATCGAGCAATGTGATTAAATTGCGTTTTAACACACTTTCTGAAAACCGTGACCATTATAAAAAAAAACTGAATTAACCGGGATAATTTACGGACAGGAATATTAGCCCATTCATTCTACTTACCTCGTTCTGAGTACACTTTTCTGAAATTCCCCACGCGTCTGTTTTACATAAGACAAAGGGCCTTAGCATGGTATTCCCTACACCGTTTCTTTTTTGTAACGATACGTCATTTTCTGTAATGTTACTGTATTTTGTAATTGTTACTGTATTAATGCTACTGTATTAATGTAACTGTATTTTGTAATGTTACTGGACGTTATTTTTATTTGATTTTTTATTATTATTAAAGACCTCATTACTTCTCAAAATAACCTAATTCGGGGAAATTCTTCATTCGGGGATAGTATAAATAAACTGGTAAATTTCATAAATATTCACTAATTTATCCCTTTGCCAAGTTAAGTTGTGTTTTTGAATATTCTCCGGTGATTATGCATGATCACCAGCTTATTTCCTTTGCTGAAACTTATATCTTTTGACAATCCTTGATAATAATTAATTCACTAGAATCTGCCCCAAATTCAAATTCTAAATCTTATGTTACTACGAAAATAAATGTTTAAATCATTGGTTTCAATTAAAGTGAATGTCGAGTGTAAATAATAAAAAAACCAAATTACTCTAAAGACGCAAGAAAGCTATCCGTTTTTAACTAGGACTGTTTTGCAAAGTGAATTAAGTTATTAAGTTTCACATATTAGGACACAAAATGGCCGAAATTTTCTCTGTCAGAAAATACGGCAAATAAAAAAACTTTCTTTTGGTTAGTTGAACTTCTATATTTGTGTTTCGATAAATTAAATAATATGAGGTCACTGCAAAGGGAAAAAATTAAAAGGAAACCGGAAATTATAAGTACTAAAGTGTCAGTTTTGGGAGTAATTAAAAAAAGAGATTTGCTGTACATGATTAGGCTTCGCTGAAAATGATTAGGCTTTAGTTATCGTATTCTGCATTTAAAATATGAATGTGACAAACTTTTAGTGCTGAATAAGTATTGTGAAATATGTGTGTAAGAATTCATTTTTAGTAAAAATGGCCATTCTAATATGGTAAAGTTACCTAGAAAAATAAAAAAATAAGAAGGAAAATTAAAGTTATGTCAATGTTATGGATTAAGTGTTGATTCAGTGGTATAATTGTGACCAAGCCTAAGAAATGTATGCTAAAAAATTGTAAATTAATGTTAAGTACACAAAAAGAGTAAATGCAATCCTTACTTGTACTCAAATTAAAACACACCATGTTCTTAAAATTTAATAATTAAATTAATTAAAATTAGTATTTGATATCTCATAATTGTTTTTTAGAAATAATTAAACTTATAACTAACGCAAGGAAACATTTAAAATAAGTCAAAAGTGTGCAATTTTAAATTTATGAAGATTTAGTTTGTTTCAAAGGGACTGCAAATAAAAAACTGAATTTAATACGACTGAAATTAATTCGATTAATCCAAGATAAATAAATAAAATTTTAATTTTATTCGATAAATATCAGTTTCAAACTCTTATTCTTTCATTCAATGGTGAATATAAGAATTGATGATTGCAATTAGACTGTGACTTCAATGAAATTCAATAAGTTAATTGTGTTATTAGCTTTATAAAAATTCATTAATTTAATAATTCTAAATTTAACGAATGAAGCATTTAAGATGTTAATTACATAACCATTTTTTTAAATAACTGAAATGCAGACTTAGCAACAAGCAAATCTTTGTCCTTGAGGTTTTGATTTCTGGAAATCGATTTTGGATTAGTCAGTTTCACGAATTCTTTTGCCCACTTGTAATCTCCTAAATTTCGAACACTGCTTAGGAGAGTAATGACGTCGGGAGAAATAGTTTCAATTAAATTTATCAATGAAAGGGGCAATCTTTCAGGCAAAAAAACTAACATTTCAAATTATAAAAGCATAGCTGTTATGCAAACTCTTTCTACCTTAAAAAATACCAAGTATATCAAGATGAAATAGCAAAACATCACGGATGACGTTGACTAGAGATCCAATCAAAGCGTACAAAATCTCTCTTCAATTTGAGTAAAAGTAAGGATTGTTTTTATGCACCTGGTAAGAGCAAGAATTAATTAAAATATAAGAACTGCGAATTAAAGAAAACTTTACTTATTTTTGAAATTCTATTATTTTTTTTTAAAATTTAATATTTCGTATCAATAATATTTCAATTTTAAGAAAATTGAATCTCAAAAAACAACAAAACAATGCATCTTAATACAGTTTTGAATCATTCTTTTAGGGTTATATATCTAAGTCTCGGGAATTACATGGCGCAAGAGATGCAACATGTACAGAATCTCCCGGAAATGCTTTGTACGAAATCATAAAGAAATGGCCAAGATTTAAAGGTGGACCTCTTCCAGGATACAAATGTTAAATATTTTGTGCGATTAGGCTAACTTAAACGAAATAATTTTCAATTATAATACATTTTATGCAGTTAAATGTGAATAAAATTATATTTTTGACAATAATATCGTTTAATTTCTTTTCATATAGAGCAAACGACTACCTAAGAAATACCATATTTCTTTTTTGGTAAATATTATGTTAATTTATTTTAATTTTTAACATATTTTTCCTTTAATATTGGCGTTCTTTTAATATGTTCTGCTTTTTCTCAATCTTTCTTACTCTCTCCCTCTCTCTTTTTATTTTAGTTATAATTATAAGTTTTAAGACAAAGTACACAGTGACATATAAATCTTAGTTTCGTATCTTGATCAGGTTATCGAAATATTTCATTACTTGTAAATATTGCTTCCTTAAAAATACCTACTCTTTTCGTATGTTCCAAATAAACTACATTTGCAAGTTCGAAGAAACCTGGTTTGACTTCTAACAAAAAGCTGAATGATTTTTTGTATTGACGTTTAAATAAAAACATTGTTGGGAGTATAATTAATAAAAAATAAACATCATTACGATGTTCCAAAGAAAAACAAGTATAATCAATCATTTTTACTTCAATTCAGTTCTTTTTCAACTGCTCTTTTTACTTCATTTTCAGCTCAAAGAAAAAGTTCGAGTGCACAAACGATAATTTAAGCACGTATCGGTTTTCCAACAGTTACAATTAGAACAATTTAGTTTTTCAAATTAAACAAAAATATTTTGTCTAAAGTGGCACAAAAAAGTTACTCAAAGTCGCAAAAAATGTCTGAGGCAGGACACGCACTGAGGAAGCAAGCGGAAAGAAAGAAGTATACAGGTGACGAATTCCTATACTTTTGCATTAAGATGGACAGAAGTAATGTGCGCATGCTAATGCAAAAGTATGGGAATCTGCCTGTTTCATACAGCTTGTTTCCTCAGTGTGTGACCTACTTAAGTTATTGCTACGAAAATAAAGCCTCGGTAGCATTGTCTCAACGTTGCTCTGCATTGTTTACAGTTTCACCCAATTTACAATCTTTCCAGAAATTGATCTCTAGTTAAATGTGGGTAATGGAGGAGGGTTATATGAGATATTAAACATGTCTAGTACATGTATTCCTTATTCGTCTATATCATAGCAAAATTAAGTTTGATAAACTTAAAAATCAAATTCTTTTCGATATATTCTTAAAGGTGTGGCGTAACTACCACTATAAATATTAAATACCAATTCACTAGTATATAAGACAAGTTAACTTGATTCTATTTTAAGGTACCTTTTGTTATTATTGTTAATATAGTTTAATTTGAAGGAAATGAGGTACCGTTTGAAAGATGAAGGTTGACATAGTCGATAATTAAATCCCCACACTGATGACCCGGACGTGATGAGAACTTGCCAATATTGATGGATGATCCCCATTAAACAGTTGATTTGCTTAAAACTATACTGCTCGAAGGAAGAAGAAAAAATCCGGTAAAGTAAATAAAGTCTCCCGGTCAATAAACAAAAAAATGAAAGAAAAAAAATAATGATCGAAATGCTATAAAGAAAGAAAATAAATATAATAATGAGAGAAATGATATAAAAACAAAATAAATAAATAAATAAAAAATGAAGAAAAAACAAAATGAGCAAAATTGGTATAAATAAATAAATAGCATGAATCAACTAGTGGTAGTCATTCATCGAATTCTACCACAGATAAAAATTCTGGTAGGGGAGTAATCTGGAGTAACTACCAATATAAATATTAAATACCAATTCACTAGTATATAACACACGTTAACTTGATTCTATCTTGAGGTACCTTTTGACAGATTAAGTTTGACATGGGCGATAATATAATTTCCCACAAGGGGTTGGAAATGAAATGAAAAATAATTTGTTTCAACTAATAGTTTCTACTCTTAAATGCTACTAAACCCATTAAATTTAATAATCCGACTGGGTTCAAAGTAAAGACCATTGTAATTTTAACCCGATACAGAAAACAAGGGAATCTCCCATTGGGAGAAATTTTCAATCGTGGTGGTCTTTTTGATAGAACTAACCCGCATTTACCCTACATGAAGAAGAAAACCGCGAAAACTTCTCATAATATGCCTGACGGTAAGGAGACTATAATCCAAGATTCGCCTACTATTCAGGATTTCTTATGTCAGCACTGTTACTGGTGCGAGCGAATCGACCAGCCATCGCTGGAACTCGAACCTGGTTTACCTCATAGGAGGTGAACGACCTATCCCCTGAGCCACCATGGCTCTTTACATAGCGTTCAATAAATTTTAATACTTATTCCTTTCAATAATCCATTGCTTCAAATATTAATAAAGCTTGCATGATTATAAAAACTTTCGTCCATTGCAAATAATTACTATTACATATTCTTTAGCTTTTACCTACTTTACCTTTTTAAATTAAGATATATAACGTGTTAAAATTAAAACCAATAAAAATAATTTCTTTCTAATCCATCCCTTAGGAACAGCCAATAAACAAACAAATAAACGAAAACAAAGCAAATATACTCAGGTAATGAACGGCTTTTAAAGTCAGCGTTTTAAGAGTTATCTAATTATTTTTTTAAAGCTAACAAAAGCAATTTTCCAAAAATTATATATTTAATGAAAAATCAAAACATTTTAAATAATTGAAAATATAAACACTTACTTATATTTGAAAAATGACTGGATTAATCGGTCTAGTAAGTTTCTTTTTGTTTATTTGGGTGTTTATGTGGATGAGTATCTTTGAATACCACCAAGAAAACCCTATTATTATATGGCGTATACCTATATTTTGCGCATTTCATGAGGAAGAAGATATTAGCAATAATGTTTTGAATCATTCAGATGCAGTTACTGCTGAAAATGCTGTTTTGAATCATACAGACGGAGTTACATTACAAAATAATATTTTTAGAGACACAGATTTAATTAAAGTAAGATTTTTGAGATTGGAATGTTTTGGGGAAGAATTTGAAATAGATTTGACACTGTATAACACTTTACAACAAGATGCTAGAAAGGAGATGATTATCAATAAAAAAGGTGATTTTGTGTTGTTAGACGGGAATTCATTTGAACTTTACCATGGGAATGTTAGAGACAAAGAAAACTCGTTTGTTTTAGGTTTCTTTTTACACACTGGTATTTTTCGAGGTTACATAATCGCAGATCAAATGTATGGCTTTGAATCTACAATTGATAAGGGAAACAAAGAAATAATTTGTTACCGTTTAAAAGACATAATGGCGAAAGATTGCTTCAATGAGGAAAAAAAAGACTGTTCTCAATCAGAATTTTTCAAAAAATTAGAAAAAGGTACGATCACCTCACAAGAAAATTCAAGAAACAATGAATATAAAAAATTACAAAGTAAAAATGGTGATCATGAACCGGAAAAAGAAGTACCGTCTTCCACTAAATTTAGTACTATTGATAAATCAAATAAAAATAAAATGTTCGAAGTAAAAAACAAAGGTATTCATCCAGCGAGCATTATAACATCAACACGGGCACACAAAAATGGTGGTGAACTAGGTAACAAATCCTCATTTCCGCCTGAAATTGATGTTTTGGATAGTATAAAAATTGCTAGGGAAAATGCCTCACAAGTTAAACCAGTCTCAAAATCCAAACGTAAAAAACATATTGATATAAATATGATAATGGTAAAGAATATGACTAAGCATTTATTTCTAGAAGATACACAAACATTGCTTTTTGATGATGTAGAGAATTTATCCTTTAAAAGGTGAGTTAAAAATTAAATTACTCTATAACTAATATAATTCATGGTTTAATACGCTTCCGTGAATGAAAACAAATTATCAGTTTTCATGTTCCACATCAACAAGAACATTGTTCTTTATAATTGATAATTTTGAATTTTAATAACACAATATAATGGCAAAAACATTGATATTTGACAAAATGTTGCAGTATTTTTCTAATCGAGTAAATTGCCATTATTTCCTCATTGGTCAATGCTTTCGTTATCCAAATAAAATTTATCAACACTTTCCAAAAAATTTGCATCTTCTCTACTCCAGTACGTTATTATTATAATAATCTCATAAAAATACATAGTTATGAGTTATAAATACTCCTTAATTGCCGTGTGAATAAAAAGAGTAGCGTTGCTGACTTCGTTACCAAGGTGACGGAAGTAAAAAATGTGACCTTGAGACGCCAATTTATTATTGCCACATAGCATTGTAAATATGTGACATTTCACGTGTTTCTTTATTTCTTTTCTAATGATTATAATGACAGCCTGAATTTGGTACTTGCACTATAAGAGGAAGAAGATCACCAATACCCTTACAAGTGACCTATGAAATCAGCGCCAGCTGATTGTTTATAATCAAAATGTCGTGTTAAAGTTGTATTAACTTTCTCCACACTAGTTAGAATGTTAATCAATCTAAAATTATCAAAATACAGTGCCGTATTGCCCACCAAATTTGTTGAAAGATAATCTACATCTTTTACTTAACTTATAACTATTATTTGTTTATGTATTTTGTAGTAACCGTGATATATTTTTGTTTTGTGTACCTGGCAACTTCGGTGAAAAAATATATCGTGAAAAAATGGAAATCCTTGTGAAAGAATATAGAATGTGTCATTTAAGAGAGTTGATACTAGACGGGCTTGGCTTACTCGAAATACAATGAAAAGATGAGATGCTAATACAAACAAATTCCATGTTACAACAACCAATCAGAATCGAGATACCCTCTCTATGTCACTTGCAGGTGACCCATTATAATAACTTCTAAACAAGTAAAAATTCCCTGAATCTAATATTTGGCTGAAAAATTTTTATTTTCAAAACTACAATAGTATTGTATTTGTATTTCAAAAACGTAATGAAAGCATAACGTTCTATTTTTTTTTAATTTTCTTAGAATTTAATCTTCGGTTATACTTTCTTTCGAGGTACCTCTTGGTTCTTAACTAAATTGGTCGCCAGAGCGATGTTGCTTAATTTAGGGCAACCCGTACAAAAACCTCTAGATAAGTCAATAACATATTTCCTATTTTACTCTATATCAGAATACATGAATTAACATTTCTTATGTTATTTCCTTGTCGTTATTTTGATATAAAATACATTTTTTTCGAGTTTTATTTTTTTATGCTTGAATTATTTGGCAGAGTATGCCACGTAAGCAAAAACACAGAAATTTTCCAATTAAATTTATTACTCCATTATTGTCCGTGGCTTTAATTTTTCCTACCTAAAACATATCAAACCGTTTTTTTTTTCCTTTTTTTTTTTTTTNATACTCAAAGCTTGGAAAATCATAAATAATTTATTAATCGATTCTTTTTTTTTTTTTTTTTTTTAAAGAAGAAGGAAACAGGCAAATGTCATTACAAAAAAATACTTCTATTCGCTGCGTTTTTCCATTTTCCATTTTATTAATGCATCTGATGACTTCAGCAATCTGATTAAGAATTCTCATATTAGTCTTGTTTTGGTGACATTTTATTCAAATGTCTTATGTCATGGTAGAATTCTAGAAGACGAACAACACGGAATTCGAAAATATATACCAGTTCTCTTAATTTGACATTTTTTCTGTTATATGTATGATTACATCTGAATGGGATACCTGCAAGAGACCTAGTGTAAGTATCTCGATCCTGATTGGTAGCTAAAACATGGCATTTGCTTACGTTAGCAACTGTTCTTTGCATTCTATTTCGAATAAGCCAAGTCCGTCTGGTATCAGTTCTCTTAAGTGACGCATTCTATATTCTTCACAAAGAGTTTTTCACAAAGATTTCAATTCTTTCACTATATATTTCCTACTTAACACAAAGACAGGAACGAAGCCTTGTAAAACATAAACATCGAAGTTGTCAGGTACACGAAGCAATATTATATCACGCTTTGCAATAAAATACAGTAACAAATAATAATCTAAGTTAAGTTAAAAACATAGACGAAAACTAATTATATTTTACAAATTTGATGTGTGATACAGCACTGTATTTAATTAACTTTTCGTTAATTAACATTTTAACTTAAGTGGGGAAACTTAGACTCAACTTTAGCACGCTATTTTGCTTATAAATCATTTGCTGACGGTGACGTCATTGGTCACATGTGTGGGAGTCCGTGTCTTCTTTTTCTTGAAGTGCAAGTATCCAGTTGCGTTAGTGAGAGATATCTTCTGTGGTCAAAGCCTTTCAGTTGGGTAAATTTAACTTAAACCATTTGAATCCCTCTCAAAAATTTTAAATTGACCCTTGCATAAATTCATTATTGTCATAAACACTAGATTTTATTTTAACAAATCTTGTTAATCATTCTTATCTCAATCTTCTTTTTTATTCTCAAATGAAAATGCAACTAAAAAGGAAATAATTATTTTAATTTTTGTTTCTTCTTACATCTTTTTTCAGTTCTACATTGGAGTCTGATGCCCTTTCTTGTGGTCTAAAAATTATAGCTAGCCGTTCATTGATGGAATTCTTTGAGGAAAATAGTACTGATTTAGTGAAAGATATTTATCTCCAAACTGAAATGTTAAATATTCTTTATAGGAAGCTGACATTCCAGAATAAAACAAACAATTTCATAGTCAAGTTTCATATTGAAACTATTATTTTACAAGGTAAAGATCTCTCAGAACATTCCAGTCAAGAATTATCGCTTGAAGAATTAATTAAAAGCTATAGCCACGATAAATCTTTTTCCCAAGCTTGTCTTATAGTCGGTAAGTTAAGCTTTTATTAAGAAAGGTGTACCGTAATTATTAGTTTCATTGATCGTACAGTTTTTTTCTCACTGATTAAATGTGCTATAATAATTATAGGTTTTAAAATGTTTTATTTTGTCTGCTATAAAAATATTCATACTACTGAGTGATGCTATCAAAATAAGCACAAATGGAAGTAGAGGTGAAAATAACTAATCAGGCAATGCTATAGTCCGCTCACCAGGAGTTAGTACTTGACTCCACCTCCTCGGACGAAGAGTTCATTTCAGCGAGGGAGTTAGAGGAGAAACACTCTTGAAATTGAGTCAACCCTTCATGCGCGCCAAACTCAAACAGAGAATTCTTTTTCAGTCACTTACTTCGCTTTATCATCTGCTATTATACCTCTCATTATTCTATCTAATTAAATATATTGCAGCAAAATGTCCCAAAAAGGACAAACTATTCACTCAAAAGAGTGAATAGTTTGTCCAGAAATATCATCAATAGTTTGTCAAATAGTTTGAAAAAGAAATATCATCAAATTTAAGAAATATTTAATGCTGAAAAATGCATATAAAGATTGCGAAATAAAAAAATTTTTCATACGATCGTCAAATAGCAACCTTGTTCAAAATTGTTCACATCCTTCTCCCAAAAATGGCGAAATAGTATCGCCGTATACCACGTGATGAAGGCGGAGCCAAGTAGCAACTCCTGGTGAACGAACTATATTTATATCAAGTCCCCTGGTGGAAAACAAAAAATAAAAATTAGAAACCCAGACTTTTGCTTCGTCATCAAAAGTGAAGTTGGTGAACGTTAGCAAGTTAGGCTCTATTTGTAAATATTTCGTCAGTTTCCATAAATTTGCAGCTATAATAGCTTTATTTCTTTCAAAAAATAGATATAAAATTCAAAATTCCTAAGTTTATTCACTTAATTCAAAATAAAATTTAAATAAAATGTTTCTTTATTAAAAATTTGTTAAAATAAATGCCCCAAAGGATGTATAGTATGTTAATTCAAAAACTAAATTTTTGTTTTTACCGGAAGTTAGCTTAACTTCTAAGAACTAGAAAGTAATTTGCAGAGTTTTACTCACTTGATTTTAATAAAATTACTTAAGCCTCCAGCATAAATTTTGTATGTTTTAAAAACAAATATCTGTTTTTTATTCTTTGTAATTTTGTTATACATGAGTAAAAAGCTATTTATATATATATAAATTAATACTTTTAAATGATGTTCGAATTAAATATTTAAATGCTGTACTCCTCATTGCAAATATTCTTAAAATTGTACTAAAATTTTTAGATAAATAAATTGTGGTTGATTTGATTGAAAAATGCTGATTGTGTAGCTATTGTTTATTTCCTTGGCTTAATGTTAATGAGCAATAATATTGTGTTCCCTCTTTAGAAAGGAGAAGTAAAATATTTAAATATTTTAAATGTTAAAGTTTTCTTGGTAATTACAGCAAAAAGAAGTATGAATTTTTGGAAAAATAAAATTCCAAGGTATTTTTGACAAAAAACGAAGAAGAAAAAAACTTTTCTTGTATTATTAGGAATGATACTGGTAAACTTCACAAATCTCCTCTGTATACGTCTCCTTTTTTCGAGAATATAGAGGTAATTTAAGGGAGGTTTTTTTTTTAAAACAGGCAAATGAGGCATTGTTATCAATTTATTTTCCCCTAAATTGAATGAGATCAATACCGAGACGATCGGAGTAAATAGTTCAGAAGTTATTTGGCTTTTAGATACCAAATCTGCAAATTTATACTTTTACCAATTTATGCATCTGATATTTCTATCTAAACGAGTGAAGCATCAAGTCAATAGAACTAGTAGTTAAAAAGTTGCAAGCGTTTTCATGTAAAAAAAAAGTATTACTTTTGGCATGACATAATGCACTTTTTACTTTGCTATCGCTAGGCATTCCAAACTTCAAAAGGAATTTTAGATTGCAGCTACCCCTTTCCCTTAACTTGATGTTTAAAAATTCAAATTCGTCAAGAAAGGTATGCTTAATCAGAAAAAACGCGTTTTTTTGTCTGATTCCTAAATAAATTAGTAACTAGCACTAATTAGTTAGCATATTTGAAAGCACCCTAAACCATTAGATCCATTAAGGTTGGCTCTTAGTAAAAATATAATCAGCAATAAAAGTTGTTTAGGGTGTTTTTTTCTCAACACTGATTAAACGATATAGTTACTATAAAAGGGTTGCTGTTAATGTTTTCGCTATAATTTCAATACCAACTACTTCAAATATCTCAGTAGATGTGTCACAATAATCTATAAGCTATATTTAATGAAAGAGATTTGTCATGCTCTATTTTTATCCAGACTTTTTTTTTTTAATAGAACAGAGATACGGAAAATTATGAACATTACTGCCGATAATTTATCAAGATATAATACTAACGAAAGAAATAGGATTTTACACGTTATCACTCTAATAACGTTAACAACTAACTGCTTTGGTGTATCTTTTCCCAGAGTAGAGATATCACAAAAAAAAATGATTTAATACTTAGAAATAACTATATATATTTCACAGACTGAATAATAAGCTTGGTAACAAACATTTTCTGTAGAAATTTCGGAATCATAATTCCGACCCTTGCTTTACCGATTAATTATTCATAAAGTTGCAGCAATTATTTCCTAAAATTCTGCTTTTTTTCTGTTAAAGCCTTTTAAAGTATGTATTAACTTATGGTTTCTCTTCGCGAATGTTTTGGCTGCCTAATGCGTCTTTTCGTAATTTAAATATATTTTCCCTCCTTATAACACTTAGGGATTATGATCAAGCTTTATTTCAGTCGGAAATTATTCATTTATACCAGCCAGATTCAATTGATTTGTTCGTAAACTTTTATACTTTGCACCCATTTCTGAAATAAAACTTAAGTTTCCAAAAAAAAGAGTAAATTTTACGCTGAAAACCAACATGGCTTAGTTCTTTGTGCTATATATAGATGAAAAATACATAAGAGCAATTTTGACTTTGTGTCATAGCATTTGACATATAGCATAAGAGCATTTTGACTTTGAGGGACATATATGTCCCTCACTGGGATATATATGTCCCGTAGATATTTACATCTCACAGATATTTACATCTCACAGATATATACATATCGCTATATCTCACTGATTTTATGTGGTAATATTAACATTTTAGCTTAATTCTTTAGTCTAATTGGCAGAATTTCATTATTTTTACCTTATTTCAGCGATTAAAGTCGTAATTAGTCTTTTTAACGCAAAAGAAAAAACTGGTTTTGAAAGGGTTGAAGAACATAAAAGATATGTCTGAAGTGAAGATCTATATATATATTTCTCTTACACGGTGACAAAAAAAAAGCCTCATTACAACTCCCCGAATGGCAACGCTAGAAAATCGACCAATGATTGCCGTTAAAATTTCACATGCCAAATCTAGATGAGGTGGCTCAACATATAGCGCTTTTAAAAACAGAAACTGAAATAACCAAAGAGAGCATTCTTACCAAATGTGATCTGTTCCGAAAATTACCCTATCAGCTGCGGCAATCTCATACTATTAGGCTAGGCAAAAAGTGAGTAGTCTTCGTTGATAGATCTCTGTTTTAGTATTTCGTTGAAAACGCTTTTTTTATGAATTTATATATTACGAATTTATTTGACAATTTTTAATTTATATCACGAATTTATTTGTTTTATTATTGTTATTAGTTATTCATTGAAAAATGACTCTCAGTCGTGCTGTTATGCTTTAAGATTTTATACTATGGCACATTTCTAATAGGTTTAACGAATTACATGTCATTTATTTGAATTCAAATTTATTTTAATGACTTAGTATTTACTAAAAAGATGTATTTTTTTAAAAAAAGTAAAGTTGTTGTCTGGATTTGAATGATTGTTTTGAATTCTTAGAATTTAGTGCATTTGCAATGTACCTAAGTTAGTAGCGAGTGCGAAGCGAGCTTGGTTTGCGAAGCAAACCATATAAGATTGCGCAGCAATTTTCGGGGGTTGGCGAGCGTTAGCGAGCAAGGGGCGCAGCCCACTAGTATTAAATAATCTTCCATAGCCCTACATAGATGCAATTTTAATCATAAGTTTGAGTTTTCTTCATTTAAACCATTCAACAATGCTCTACAGCCAGTGACTTTGACTTTTGGGAATCTTTTCATTCTTTGAAAAGTTTTGATTATTTAAAAAAAAAACTACCTTCTTAATATTCTATTCTTTCCAAATCTTTGGAAGCGCATTTTATTTTATTTTCTTCATCTAGTAAACCTGGAGATCTCACCTTACAACCACCATACCTGCATCTTATTTCTTTTCCTTGGTTTAATTATCTAACTCAAACTTTTTCTCGTCCACATTGGATTAAATCAATTATTTCTTGCTGCAACTTGTTTATAATATTTCTTCTGAACCTCACTCATTATCTTCTAACAATCTATATTTTGTCACTGAGGAATGCTCTCGGTAATAAAAACGAAACTATAATATGTCTAACTTTTTAGCTTTATTTTTGTTCCATTCGTGTTGTCCAGTTTTATTTGTAAAACATACGTTAAGAAAGCTCTAAGGAACATGAACAAATATCGATTGTTGTCTGGTATAGAAATCTTAATAATGCCTTCTTAACTAAACTTTTTTGTTTGAATTATCATTAAAAATCATTATTCATAATACAGCAAAGCAATTTCTTATTTTTATCTCTAATACACCTGCAGGATTGGATATGAAATTACCAAACACCGAAAAGTTATTCGATCAGTCACCTGAGACTGGAGAAGCCTGTATAGATGGTAAGAACATCATCATTGTGAGTCATGGTACTTCAGAAAATCCAAAGCCAATGGCTTTCTACTTTGCTTCATATGTCACAGCTATAACTCGAGCTCTGGCATCCACTGATAGTGATAAAGTGTGCCATTTAAGCTCTTCCGAAAACCCTTTAGTTATGATTGAAGAATACTTTCTCTCTAACCATATTGAGCCTTCATCCTCCTATGGAATATTCTCTGATTGTTACATTCGAGAAATAGAAAATAGTTTGTTAAACAAAAGTAAGTACGCTTGATAAATATAAGATTTAATTTAAACTTTCTATATTTACAATAACCCAAATTGCATAGTAATCTGTTAAATGCAAAGTATTGATTTGAAGGTAATGAGAAAATATCATTGCATCATTTAATTATAACATGCTAAGTTTTTGCATTTTAATATTTTACTCAAACTGAGCCTTCATCCTCATATGGTATATTCTCTGATTGTTACATTCGAGAAATAGAGAAGAGTTTGTTAAACAAAAGTAAGTACGCTTGATTAATGTAAGATTTAATTTAAACTTTCTATATTTGCAGTAACCCAAACTGTATAGTAATCTGTTAAATGCAAAGTATTGATTTGAAGGTAATGAGAAAATAACATTGCATCATTTAATTATAACATGCTAAGTTTTTGTATTTTAATATTTTTCTCAAACTGAGCCTTCATCCTCATATGGAATATTCTCTGATTGTTACATTCGAGAAATAGAAAAGAGTTTGTTAAACAAAAGTAAGTACGCTTGATTAATGTAAGATTTAATTTAAACTTTCTATTTTTACAATAACCCAAATTGTATAGTAATCTGTTTTATGCAAAGTATTGATTTGAAGGTAAGGAGAAGATATCACTGCATCATTTAATTATAACATGCTAAGTTTTTGCATTTTAATATTTTACTCAAACTGAGCCTTCATCCTCATATGGAATATTCTCTGATTGTTACATTCGAGAAATTGAAAAGAGTTTGTTAAACAAAAGTAAGTATGCATGATTAATGTAAGATTTAATTTAAAATTTCCAATTTTTACAATAACCCAAATTGTATAGTTATCCGTTATATGCAAAGTTTTTATTTGAAGGTAAGGAGAAGATATCACTGCATCATTTAATTATAACATGCTAAGTTTTTGTATTTTAATATTTTACTCAAACTGAATACCCTGTCTTTGAGACATTTTAAAAGGTATATATTTTAAAACAAGAACGTGTATTTTTGAAGAAAACCTCAGACATTTATTAGGCAAAAGCTATCGCAAGTTGAAAGTTAGATTTTTCGTTTAACAACAAAGAAAATAAAGATCAGAACTGCTGATAAATATTCATATGACTTTCACAATGTTAATTAATCTCCTTTTCCAGCATCAAGTATTTCATCTAACATGATCAACATAAGATGGTGGTAAAAGACTTTTCCTAAATATACTCTTTCTGAATAGAATAGGTGTCTCTAGGTTACGTGATTTTCTAAATATCTATACTTTTAGTTAATATATCTCTCTAAATATCTCTCTTTTGGTTAAGACAGGTCCTAGAACACTAAGTAAACCACTGATGTTTCCCCATTTTTGCACTTTATTTATTCTCTTATTTTTTATTTAATTTGTTTCAGATATATTTCCTTATGTTGTTTCATTCATTTACCTAGAATACATTATGTAGTTAAAATTTGCCACAGTATAGACATAGTGCCTTTCAACTAAAAATTTAACTCCAATGCCAATTTGTAGGTAGGTGTTTTCACATTGACTGGTTATAATGGCAAGGAGTTACAAATTGACTTTAAGGGGACACTTCACGATGGAAAACCCAAAAATCGACCAAATTATACTTTTTTCAATTTTTGTTTCAAAAAATAATACTTATATCTAGCTACAATTTAAAAGAAAAATTTTTCAATTTCATTCATTTTTTGCAAAGTTATAAGCATTTCAAGATTTGTAAACAAGATTATGTAAACTGTCTGTTTTTATAGTTAAACTGTTTTTTCTCAATGTTGTTTTTTACGATAATATTCAAACTTCGAAAAGTTCCTTGCGCATGAGTTTTGAATAAATCTTTATTTTTTTCTCATATATATGATTGGTCTAATGTTCCGTAACCAATGTGATATAAATAAAAGCTGAATACTCACTGAATATTTTTTAAATTACTTTAAATTGTTATTTAAATTTCAATTTTTAAAAATTATATAAAGACTATGATATTTTGATTTTTTATTTGTTTAAAATTAAGTGCTAAGTTGTTCAAACATATCCAATTTTATTTATACTTATTCAAACTGTAATATAAATGAGTTTCATACAGCTACGATAAAAACTCATGCGCAGGAAACATTTTGAAATATTGGAACATTTAGTAATTTAACTTGCGGATAAATTATTAAAAAAATTATAACTTTTCAACAAATTAATATTTTTGCTTCAAATTTTGGGAATATCTTTCTAAATGCTTTTTCCACAATCTATGAAATTTTCATTAAAATTGGTTGATATTTAAAAAAAATCATTTTGAACCTGAAGTGTCCCCTTAAACAACTTCTAGAGTTTAATGTTTGAAAATGACAACCCTACAAACTAAGAATACAACATGCCAAATTTAAATCCATTTTGGAGAACTTGCTATTGTTTAGATTTTCTCTTTAAACTGGTACTCAATATCTAACTTAAATTTTTTACCTATTTCCTATAGCTTCTCATTATTTAGACTCGTTAAAACAAAGTTTTAAAATGCTAATTATCATTAAAATAAATAAAACAATATTTAAGAAGAAAAAAATCTATTGTTGAAAAAAATTTAACTGCATGTAAAAACAATAATACTTTATATTTATACTATAACATTTATTTTAAGTTATAAAATTCATTTTACCTAAGAAATGCACAGTAGTCCATCAAAAGAAACTTCAATTTTTTAGCATTTAATTAATGAATAAATTTTAAAAATTATAAAATATTTCAATACTTTCAATTTTTTTCTCCATAAGGCAAACTATATATTCTCTCTTGCCTTTGTAAACAGAATGCTTGAAGAAAACTCCCTTTTGCACTGGAACCTGTCCTGGAAATTCGTCTCACTGCCCCACATGTATTCCATCAAGACAGCCATCATCGTGTGAGAACTTCTCAAACTGTAGAGCCTTCGTGTGCTCTGCAAGAGGTCTAAAAACTTGCCTATGCAAAGGAAAGGACGAATGTATCACGTGTTGCGTCGACGGAGGCAAATGCCAAGTGACAGAAATTCATGACGTATATTTTTGGAGGAGACACATATTTTTAGCTTTTCCCGACGGTTCAAAATGCAGCAGTAATAGAAGTTGCTAGTAAGTACAACTTCTCACTCAAAGAAAAACTTTTAAAAAATAAAAAAGGTGAAAACTGAAGCACTATTTTGTGAGCCGCGGTGACTCAGGGGATAAGGCGATTGCCTCCCTATTAGGTGTAAAGGTTTGAATCCCAGCAGTGGCTTTTCATTGGCACGACAGACCAGGATGGGCCTTGGCCTTCTCAACAAGCCTATGCCAAGACATTCTTCCCTTAGCCAACGTTCTCCAGTTTATTATCTTTAAAATTTGTTGGTCATTTTCAAGGCAGTCTAAAAGTCTCAGGTTTGGCCGTCCTCTTTTTCTTGTACCTGTTGGCCTGGCACTGAAAACTTTTTTGGTTGCCCTGCCATCCTCAATTCTTATAATGTGGCCTGCCCATTTAATCCTTTGAATTTTGATAAATTTAATGACATCAGGTTCTTTATATGCTTTATAAAGTTCCGTGTTTGTTCTTCTGAAAAAGGTACCGTTAAGTTACCAGTCTAAACCAGGTTACCCAGCAGTGGCTACTTGGAACCAATTCTGCTTCATATTTTTGGAGAATACATGTATGGAGATGAATGTAAAACATCCTAAGTGGTATACGGATCATGCGTTAGATTTTCTTGCCGTCGTGTTAACCGTAGGTGGTTTTCGTGGTTTTCCTCTCCATGCAGCGCAAATGCGGGTAAATTACAACGAAAAGTCCTCCACAAAGGTCTGTTTGTCCAAATGGTTGATTCAAGAGTTCCCTTGTCTTCTGGTGGTTTGGGTTTAAAATTACAAGACTACGGAGTTGAGCATTCATAGTCGTTGACTCGAAACTGGGTAAGCTGTTCAACGCCGGTTGTATAGATAAAAACTATTTTACAAAGAAAAAAAAACAGAAAACTAAGTAGCTTTGTAATGAGAAAAAATTTGATAAATCTTTCTTATAATAAACAAAAGCAAAGATAAAGGATTATAAAAGAAATATTAGATAGAAATGTTAACCTCGAATTTAAGTATTAGACCAACAAATCCCTAAAATAATAAATTTTTGCGGATCAGCTTCTTTCATTTGTGAGCGTCCTTGATTTTTGTGTTATATAAGCTCCACCCGTATTATAACTTCAAGATTTGAGGTTGCTATACGTTCATAGAATTTGAACTATGTTTGAATAATAAGTTTAAATTAATTTATAACTGTTTTTACAATTTATAAGTGAGAGAAGCTTGTTTAATTATACGGTTTAGTTTAGAAGTTTATCTGAGTTAAATTAGAGTCCTTTGATAATAGCTGTTTTCTACAAATCAATTACATATCTACTTTTTACAGATTATTAATTAACATGGGTTACTTTTACCAGCATAAAAGCATATTCAAATAGCTAAATTTTTAAACAATTTTTTTTAAAAATAAAATTGTCATAAAAATTCAGATTAGTAAAGGAACTCAAATACTTTGAGTAGAGCCTGCTTTGGGTTGCTTGTTATTGAATCTTTATTAAAGATTTTTTAATTGTAGGAAACTCATTTGTTTGTAGTAAGATTTTTATTCTGATAATATTTATTAAGGATTTTTTTTCTATGTGATTTGATAGATTTGTTATGAGGAATTGAGACGGGACTAATTTTAAGCCTCAAAGAAATTATGAGAGTGGTACTTAATTTAATGTCAAAACAAAGTCAAACATATCTAAACAACTTTTCCGCAGAAATTAATTAAATGAGGTATTTGCTGCCCTGAAACCTAAATCTGAGGCTGACATTCTTAGATAGCATGGATTTTTCAGTCTCTCTTCTTGACTTTTGCTTAGCATAAAATAAATTTACCTGATATTTTTAATTACAAAGCAACTTGTCTGATTTTTCTTTGTTGCCTAATAGTTTTTCAGTCTGATGGCTTTTTTCTACTTTTTAAAAGTTTTATTTATGTTAAGTTTTAATTAAGTTTTTTAAGGTATTAGATAACTAAAAATACAACTAATAACCCATCTCCCTCTAAAAATCGCGATTATTAATTCAAATACAATTTGGATCATAAAGTTTCTCATGCTCATTATAGTAGCTCTAACTAGAGCCCCTGAATTAGAATCCTAGTAGAGTAGCCTTAGCTTTAACAAATTTAATAAGTTTATCTGCAGCAAATTGTGTGTTTACGAACTCAATCACTCTCTTTATCACCAAATTATGAAACGATAAAATTTGTTTTCACTAATATAAAAAATTGAAAGGGTAATTTATTGAAATTTAAGCCTACGTAGGATTGTAAGTTGCAATATTCTGAATCAAAGAGAAATCTACGCCGCTTTCGATTAATAACTTGGTTGAGTCTGATGGCTTGTTTAAAATTTTACATGTTAAAGGATTTTAACTCTACTGTCGATTTCGTTTACAGAAATTTCAATAACTTTTCAGCGTCGTTTTTAATTCTAAAAAGCGCATTTTCCTTCATTTTAAGACGTAGCTGATATTTTGGTAAGATCTTTTTATTTTTATTTTTTCTCTACAAAGTTAAGCTTCCCAGAAGAAAATTTTTTTTTTCAACTTTAACATGGTTGTGCCGAGTATATATACCTCGTGTAGTTTCTGACTTTTAAGGTTTGTGGCTAAAATATCGTCTCGCTTGAAAATCTATTGTTTTTCTTCGTGAATTATATCTTAATCAAAAATAATTAGTTAGTACTAATCCGGTAGCTGAGTAACTTCCATGCGCCATAATGGTAGCCAATTAGGAAAGTATTAGAAGAAAGATAGTTACATCGAAACTTATTTAATTATGTTGAACCGATTAAAAACAAAGACTTTAACAAGTCTATATTGTTTCAGAAAAAAAGTTTATTTTTAGGGGAAAAAATACTTATTTAATGAAACTTTAAGATTCATTACATAATTTGAAATTGCCTAATAACGAAAAAGGAAGTATTCAATTTTTCCAAATACATTTCCAAATATATTTTCCAAACATATTTTCCAAATATATTTTCCAAATATATTTTCCAAATATATTTCATAAGACAAATCATACAACTAAGTTATTTTCAACTGTTATAAAAAAATAAAAAAAATAAATATAAAATTTCTTGCAGTCAGTGCAAATTGATTTTTTAAAATTTTCGCTATGTTTTTCAGCGTGTTTCATATAATTAATTAAATGTAATCAAAAATGAAAATACATCAGTGTCAAATAAATAATTGGAGAAAGAATTCGTGAGAAAGCTTAGCTGTTTTAAGAAGGTTTCGTCTTGTGTCAGATACTACGTAACAAATGATTTCTTAAGACTCATAGGTTGCTAACTGGTATAAAATTCAGTAGGTGCTAGTGTTACTTCTTACATCTTTTTTACAACTTAGATTTACGAGCTTTATGCAAATTATCTTCATGCTAAGTGTTCATAAATCAACCCCTTTACTCATAAGTTGCTAACTGGTATAAAATTCAGTAGGTGCTAGTGTTACTTCTTACATCTTTTTTACTACTTAGATTTAAGAGCTTTATGTAAATTATCTTCATGCTAAGTGTCCATAAATCAACCCCTTTAATATATATTTTTAGAATCCGTATTAAAAATGATGTACAGAACATACACATTGGAAAGTTGTATATGTAGGTATGCAATAAAAACAAAATTTATCTGTGTCAAAACCTCACGAAATCAAACAATTAAATGTCACCAATTGGCTACTTGCAGCTAATCACATGGTTGTGTCGAGTCACGTGGTTGTGAATGTCATCTTAACGTTACATATTTCAGGAATGGGTTTATTATCAAACTGAATCAATTTTCATATCAAATTTAAGTGGATGTCTGCGAACGATGTTCTGCGTGTGCGTCGAACCTGATTGGCTCACCCACACGTGACGTCTCTTGCAGGTATCCAACTGATTTGAATTAGCGAGGATCTTTTCTGAAATTACTTTCTAAGCATGACTTCCAAATATAAAACTTTTCACAGGAAATCTTACCATTGTTCTATTTATTGATTAATATTTGATTCTTGGATTTAAAAACATGACAGGAAAAACTTAAACAATCTTAGACACACTTAATAAATAAATTATTTAAACGTACACAAACAAACTGAGAATTATTGCATTCTTATATTTAAGTGTAGCCAAAATAATGAAACAAAAATGTGAAATCAAACAAAATACTTCAATAAAAAGAAAAAAGTTGGTAGATTATTGATATTTTCATTTAAAAAAATGCTTTGAAATATTTAAAAAATCAATTACATATCTTAGAATAATGTTACAAGAGGTTTAAAGGGTTAAAAACAAATGGTTTAAAAAAGTTAAAAACAGAGCAGTTCATCACCAGTGATTCCCCCTGGAAATTATTTTCTCCATTTTACTCTAACGTATTATTTTGTATAAAATAATTTCCGTTTAATTAGACCTCATACGAAAAGCGTAAAGCGCATCAGTTTTGAAAGACGTAAGCGGAAAAAGCTGGTAATTATTTCAAAAATAGAATTATTTTCTATTTCTCAGTATACTTAGTAAAAAACTTAGTTTTTAAAATTTCCTTTTATTTTGTAATAATAACATTGTTATTGTACTTTAATACAATCTTTAGTTTTGCTATCACTAATAACTTGTTGATTGCTTTTTTAACTGACTTCTTTTTATTTTATATAGCAATGGTGCATGCATTAGAGAAAAAACTGGTCATTTAACCTGGATCTGGAAATAATGTGAAATCTCAAAAATTCCATGTCACTCTTTTTTTTAAATGTTAATTTCAATTCTTATAAGTGTATATTTCAATTCTCTTTATTTGTATTAGCACACATTTTAAAAGTACTATTATTTCCTCAAAGAGATATTTAGAACTAAGTTAAATTCTGTATATATTTGCATTCACATTTATTAACAGACTATAATGAAAACATAGATCACTGTTAAACATAAGAGCATTAATGTATCTAAATTTTTGGAATTACAGCACCAATGATACATTTATTTTCTGTCTACTCGTTGTTCTAATTATGCTGTTTTAATTGTAATCCCTAATTCCTCTCAGTTTATATCGAGACGGAGGCCCCCAAAACTAACCCGCGATTTGAAAATAGAAACAATTAAAGAAAATCAAAAAGACAGACGAATTCACAATTTCTTATGTTCCGCTAGAGGACATGTTTATTTATTCTCAACTAGCTTCAGACTATCTAGAAAACTGATCAACAGATGGCGCTGCTAACTGGAAGGAAAAAAACCTTTTTAAAATAACTACAACACTGTGGTGCTGCATCATAGAACCAGGAAATATTTTAATTACCATGGTCTGATATGGAGCCTAAACGTTTCAATGTTTCCAGTCAGCAGCACCATCCATTGACAACCTGCAAATAATTTTGATTGTAACTAATTTTGATATGTAGTAAAAGCATGTTGAACGAGGCAACAAGCTATACTACTTTTATTTATATCCTTCCATTTTTATTAACTGATTTTTCAAATCATTTTAGGAAGATTTACTATGAAGAACCAATTAACTTGTAAAATTACTTTTTTTTCGTTATTTCATAAACTCTAATGCCAAAAGAATTTTCCAAATTATTTGTTTGTTGTATAATAATTATGTACGTCTTTTATTGTATAGATTACATATCTGATTCTGTCCAAAAGTAAGCTTTTAACTTTAATCTCCTAATAAATATCATTTATAATTTTTTTGCTCTGATCAATGTACATTAATGCAATTACCCAAAATGCGCTAATTTTCAGGTTGACTTTTTCGAATTCGTAAATTTTAGTATTTAGTATTTTTCTTCCATGAAATAAATTAGTGTCTTCAAAAAAGAACACTTTTTAAAGCTGCCAAAATAGATTGTAAAATTTAATATGCAGCTACAAAACGTGGAACTGCAATACTCATTTACCTCTGGTGTGTTACAAGTTTAATTGCATGATGTATGTAATATAAAACGTTATTTTAGTTTTCAATCACAATTTAAGGTTTTTCGAAATTACCGTTATCGTGTCAAATCACGCTCTGTAGCCTATAATATGCTATTTTGTATGACTGTTTTGCGCTTCTAATTGTAAATTATGACTGATTGGTAAAGTTTGGTACAATAATTTTCTTTTAAATGAAATAAAATCCTGCCAAGTTGATGATTTTTTATAAAAAAAAGCTTAATAGTTTATTTTTAATAATCTAGATTTTTGTCTGTTATGAGTCCAGAAAATCTTTTTAGAAATATTGTACATATATAGTTGAAAATAAAGCTTTGCTTAGAGTTAAAGGTATTAAAACTGTGTTGTTTTTTTTGTCTGCTTTTTAGGAAAAAAATACTAGGGAATATATTTATTATTATAGAAATAAGTGCATCAAAGTTCCAGATTACATTAGTCAATTCGAAATTATCAAAATTTTTAATTGATTAATTTTTTTGGGAGAAATAATGTATTAATCATTTAAATTTAATTTCAGAACATTATTTCCAATTATTGAATACTAGCCGCTTAAGGCGGCCAGCTGTCCGCCAGGCTAAAAGTTTTCTCAAATAAAGATTTTTAAAACATAGCAGGAAATCTGAAGATTAGTGGACAATTAAAGTGTTCCCGTCCTGCAATTTTGTCTTCAATATTAAAATCTAAGTGCTTATCTGCTGAAACCTTCTGAAAATAACTAATTACATTTGATAAAAACTGTTAAAATAAAGAATAGAAAAACCAAAGAGATCCAAGGTAAGAGTGATCGTTCCTTCAAAAACAATTAAATTCCTATTTTATATATCATATAGCTACAACGCTTAAGAAAAAAAAACTAAAATGCTAAATACATGAAAAGAACACGAAAACGAATTAATTTTTTATGGTATCAATTTCTATTTCTATATAATTTTTTATG